GGTGGCAACGAGACTGTGGTGGTGGGTTTTTCGATTGGGTTTACGAGAAGTGTGGGGGTGTGGGTGTGAGAAAGAGAAGATGAACAATAATTGGATTTTTTTTTTTTTAGTTTTCTAATTTTAATTCAAAGTTACCATTTTGTCCCTTTTAAAATTGGTCAAAGTTAATTTATTGGATCAACTAATGGTCAAACTTACAGAAAATCATCCATTTAAACTTTAGGTATGAGTTTTTAAAAGGTTTGGTATTGTAGATGCAACAAAATGAAGGTTTAAGCCAAGTCTACTTAAGAAAGGTATGGTACCATGATTACAATTTTGTTTTAATATTATTTAACAGTCCTGATAAGTGTACTTAAGTATATAAAATATAGTTATCAATATCAGATTAAAAAGGGAACTCTCCTAGCTTCGTTTGAAGTGTTGAGGGTCAACTGCATGCTCCACAATACAATCCTTATTCTCATCACTTTCTATGGATATTTTGACTCATTGCATGTAGCACTACCCTTCATCAATGCATCGCCCAAGCAAAGCCATCCGACGGTCCATGGCATAAGAAAATGTCTCCATAGCATAATTATTTCAACTATATTGACATTCATTGAACCATACGATATCGTACAACGATCTTATTTGTAACCAATAGATGCTTGGAAAGGCTAGAACATATAGACAATAAACACAAGTTATCATACAAGATCTTTAGAGTGCTCTCCTCAATAGCTCAATCAACCTAAAGCCTTTATTGTATACTTATGGTAGCCTTTTGAAGAATAACAATGCTCAATTGGTAAATTCAAACCTCTTTCGAGTGGCCAACGAAGGCCACAAAGGCCTAACGAAGCCCAATTAGTTCCCAATCCCATGATGGTACTTTAACCCTCTCCAGAGATGCCTAAAGTAGGCTAATAGGTATCCTTAGCCTTATCATTGTATTCTAGGTCATCGTGTCATCTTCATGATTGGTTAGTTTTGATGATTATTCCATCAAGAGAGAGCACTTGAAGTAGTCCGACTCTGACCTCCATCGACATGTTATTGGGCGAGGCACCAAGTAGACATGATAGTTCTTTTGACCAAATCAAGGAGAACCCTCAATAGATTCGACATGAATTTCAAATCAGCAACAAGGACAATCAACTTTTTTTCATAATTTTTTTATACTTTTTAATCACATAATTTTAAAATTCATTTTAAAAAAATCAACTTTCACTCTAGGTCAATGTAATTTCACTTTTCATGAACTTGTCAACATTCAAGTACTAGTTGTTGAAGCAGTTGATGAAACATTATAAAGTTGGTACAGAATTCAGTCGTGGACTGATTGACAGTAACTAGGACAAGTCATTTCAAATGTGACTACGAAAAGATGTGAAAACAGTGAAATATGGCTGTCCATTTAATGTCATTACTTATGTGAAGTAATTTTTTGGAAAAACATGTTTCACTTTTCAGTAACATGTATACGTGAATTTACTAGCTGTACCATGCAACTACTCTCCCTGCAATTTCTCCGTATGAGAGAGTTTCTTGAATTAATATTTTGTAACTTGTTTTGACCAACAAAATTTCTCTTTGGACCATGCTAGATTTATAGAAAAATTTCACAGGATTTTGCCCCTCGGAGCATAGCCTAGTGGTGCAAAGGACAGAAGTGAGGTTATCTCACGTCTTGCTGGCAGCCTAAGTGTAGGGGTTTGATTCCTGAGATATGGAATTAGACTTCTTGTAGGCACAGTGTACAGATAGCTCTTGTTCCCTGACCTGTTGGGACACATTCTGCGATTTACCTCCCCTCACAAAACTCTAGGGGCGAAGCGGTATGAGCTCTCAATGTTAGGGTTCAACATTTTTTAAAATTTCACAGGATTTTTTTCATAGATAAACATGACAGAATCTCACTTATTTTTAAAAAAATAATAATAATAATAAAATAATAATAATAATAATAATAAAATATAAAAAAATTTGCACCATTCCGGTGCCTGTAAACAATTGTTCTCTCTTTTTGACGGATTCTGAACGCCGGTGTTCTTGGAGAAAGTTGTGGACCATGGTTTGTTGTACTTATAATCTACTTTTAAGCTAAAAAGGCCTCCAAGAATATTTGAATTAAGGCTGATTTGGAATACAAAATCACTGCTCGCATTAATTTCTTGTCAGTGATTTGGTATTCCAAATTAGAGTTGGAAGCATTGATTCTAGATTTTTCAGCCCCTTCTTAGTCTGTCTGAAGTCTATGATAACGTGAAGAAGCTTTGGAACTGTTGGATGATGACAAGGCATCTATTTGTCTGAGACATGAAATTCGATTCTTGAAATATGAAATTGAACTCCTTGCTGATAGTCGTAATATGGGAGGTCGATTCCTGAAACATGAAATTGGACTCCTTGTAGGCGCATGTACATGCAGCTCTTGTTCTCTGACCTATTGGGGCACATCCCGCGATTTATCTCATTCACAAAACTCTAAGGATAGGACGGTGAGAGCCCTCAAAATCAGGGTTCAACTTTTTTTTTTTTTATTTGTCTCAATTTCTTGTACGTAACATAAATGTCGAACAATACTTTAGAAACCCCTTTTAGTGGATAAATTGCTCAACATTTTACTTGATGAAATGTTCGTGGAAAGAAAATATTATTTCACAAAATTACTTCCCATGTTGAATTGGAGATGCTCTAACCGTAACAATAATGGAAACGTAATAAATGAGACTCTTATGCTTAGAAAATCTTTTTAATTAGAATTCTAGAGAACTTAAGATCCTCGAATTAGAGGAATGAAGAATATTTTATGGTGTCAATCGGATCAGCCCACGAAAAAAATCCTATTACTAGAAGAATTCTTCATAATTCAAAAATTTCAAAGATCAAACTGTTAGCAAGCAATAAATTGTCACATGGAAAAAGTGAAGCACGATCGGGCATAGCTTACAACGAAAATTTTTACGGTATCATAAACTTCTCTTTAAGAAAAATACGGTAAAAAGTAATGTGATCCCAATTTGAGCAAATATCATAGTGGATTATTCACGTTCAAGCAAGTGCCAATAATATCATTGTCTCATGATTACAGATGTACGAGATCGGGTGGTTTCTTGGTCCTAGGCGGGTACTCGTGGATTTAAGGGTAAGAGTTTCATATTAGTCACCTAATTTATTAATTTTTTCAATCTTGATTTCAAACCCAATCATCAATTAAGACATTCTTGTTGTGTATTGAGTCCTAAAATACATTCTAGATATCTAACGACATTTCACAATTCAAAAATTTATTTCCAAGTGCGTACTTAGATGTTTCAGAATTCTAATATGGTCGAAGAATTACGAAACAAATATATTGTAAGTCGCACTATACATCTACTCAAGATACATCCTCCTCTCCATGACTATGGAAAGGTACTTTTGGAACACCAATAGGCATTAAATGAAAGAAAATATAGGGAGAATTTCATTTTTATTTTTCAGGTCAAAATTTCTCTAACAAAGTCAACATTAGCATCAATTATATTGGTCTTGGAAAAATAACATCGGCGTGCCGACATCAAAAAGTATGGGCAAGATCAGGGAGAATTTCTCAATCTATGACTAACGTTAGCGTTTTAAAGAATGCGGACAAAATTGTCCATTCTCAATAGTTGGGTGATGCTCTTTACGAAGATATGGAGGATCACATTGTCCCTTCTGAATAAATGGAGGAGCAACTTGTGCCTTGCGAATCGTTAGATGCCCAAATTGCTAGAGGACCCATTTGCAAATTGTAATTAGTATGAGGACTAAGTTGTATGTTCTGAATTGTTGGAGGACCTACTTACACATGCTAAGTAGATAGATACTTAGCTTGTTCTTCCTAAATAGTTAGAGGATGGATCAACATGTTTTAAATAGCAGAAGGACCAATGTGCACATTCTTAATAGATTAGGGAAGACTTTAATCTAATACCTAAACTAAGGGCCTGTTTGGGAGCGATTTTATCACCTAAAAAGTTGATTTTTTGACCGTTATTTCACTATTCTAGCCGTCATATTTGACTTATTCTCTCACAAGTGAACCCCACTTTTTTCCTAACGGCCAAAAACTCAATTCTCAAAATCGCTTCCAAACAGGCTCTAAAACCCAACCTAAAACCGAACCCACGCCCACACCCAAACCCAAACTAAATTTGAGGCCCAAAATAAAATTAAGCCCAATTCTAAACCCCAAAAAAAAAAAAAAAAAAAAAAAAAAAAAAAAAAAAAAAAAAAAATCAAGGACACCAAACCCAAACTAAAAGAGTAATGTTATTTGCAATCTATCACTGTCATAGTCGTTCTAAATGACACGTACACGGCTATTAGTGATTTGATGCATTAATGTTGTAATTTTTTTATTATATTATATATCAAATCACTAATCGTCACATCTTTGCCACATAGGATGCATGTTGTAATGAAAGATTACCAATAGTATTATCCAAACTGAGTAAAAATGTAACCTAGCAATTACAAACCCAAACAAACCAGCCCAATTGACCCAACCCAAAAAAACCAAACTAAAATCAAGCCCGGCATTGAAAAACCCAAACTAGTACCTAGCCAATTGAACCCAAACCCAACCCGTAAACCCAAACCAAAATCCAATCCATCATAGAAAACCTAAACTAATTCCCAGCGCCAACTGAACAAAAACCCAACCCGTAAAACCTAAACTAATGCCAGCCCTACTGAACCCAAACTAATGCCAGCCCAACTGAACCCGAACCCACCCTGCAGAACCCAAACCAAAATCCAGGCCAATACTGAATGACCCAAAGTCAACCCAAGAACGGACCCGAACTTACAAATCACTCCTTTCAAATCATTACCCACAATTTACGAAAAACTCCACGTGTATAGATGGAAAGCTGATATGGCACATTTACATCGTTAATTTGTCCACTTGGATTAAAAATAAAATAAAAAACCCCCCTAATTAACAACAAAAAATCGCCCAAATCAAACCCCCAATTGTGTGAAGATAAACCCTAAATAATTTGCGATTTATTAGCCACTAAGGAAGCAGTCAAAATGTAAACCAGTAATTCATCGTTAGAGTCGTAGAAAAATGACTCCAAATAAATCAAATAAAAAAACTAGCCACTAGTAATTAAAACAGTCCAGGTGCAAATGATATATCATTTCCAATAATGCTTGCCAAACTTCCCATGCTTGAACTTCCCGTGCTTGCCATGGTGATGGCCATAATATCCACCGTGGTGATGGCTATGATATCCGCCGTGGTGATGGCCATGATGTCCACCGTGTGGCAAATGGTGGGCCCCATAAGCAGCAGCTGCTAATCCAGCACCCCCAGCAAAAATTGGTCCCATATGAGATCCATGGCCTGTAAGAATAGTTTATCACTTAAATATTAGCAATTAACAGGTTAATCAGCACAAGACAATATAACTCAGGTAGAATCTTCTAGTTCCTCCTCCTCTGTGACTTAAAACCGATGCATCTAGCCACGAGCTCGAGAGAATTTTCACGAGGGGGGGGACATTTATGATTCCATACTAGAATACTAGTATGGAAGGATCAAGAATTGATAGATTAGTTGTAATGAACAAATAAGAATTGCCTAGACAAAAATTATGAAATCGCACTTAGAAAAAGCCATTTACTCTCATGGAGAATGTACAAGGCAATAAACGAAGTTCCTTGTAAAGGAGGAAGTCATAAACAATTATGTTTGGTGAGTGCCAAAATGTTCTACTATGTGGTAGTCGATTAAATTTGTCGTCTTCGAGCATTAAAAACATTTTATGCACCCAAGGAGTACAAATATCTCGATCACTTGTCTCACATTATAAAAGGAAGTCGAGAACGACATCAAAACCCAAAACAATTTTGAAGAAAAGGATGTTGGCAACATAGACTAAATTGGGTTATAAGGCAATCCAAGCTCTGTTAACTGACATGTAAAATAACTATCAAACTTCAAATTAGAGGCCACTTGACATGTGAATTTAATTGATATTATTCAAAGAAATCTCTCAAGCACATTGAAAATTCATCCCAGAGTTGCCCCCACCGACCAGAACACTTAGAGGAGTTCCTGTGACAATCACTTCAATTCCTCTCATCATATCATCTGCAACACTCTATAGCTCTAACTCAATTATTTTCTAATAATTGTTGTATCTCAAAGTCACATTAATTGGTTGATCAACAGTATTTCGACCTTTAACTACTAGAGAATTATAAATACTAGGCATGGTCAAAGGATTCCAAGCTATAGACTATTTTAGATAAAATTTGCAATCATCATTATCCTTTAAATTTGCTGAATTATGTATGATTGTGAAGTGAATTCATATTGACACACAAGGAAGAAGATGATTCTAGCTCAAAAAGGCAATAATGTGACAGATAATATAAGAGGTAACAAAACATAATACCTTGATGGGATGGACCAGGATAACCAGCTGGAGGGTATCCACCCGGGGGCGGATATGCAGCTGGAGGATATCCTGCAGGTGGAGGATAACCATGGGGAGGATATCCAGCCGGAGGAGGATAACCATGTGGGGCGTAACCTTGCGGTGGGTATCCTTGTGGGGAATAACCTTGCGGTGGGTATCCTTGTGGGGGATATCCTTGTGGTGGGTATGCACCGTGGTGTGGAGGGTATGCTCCATGGTGTGAAGGGTAATATCCAGCACCAGAGGCATATGCAGCAAGATTAGAGAACAGCCCCTTGTCCTCACTGTCATGTATGCCCTTTTCATCTCCCATTTTCTTTAATTTGGATCACAATTATGCTAACTGTAAGCAAAGACAAGAAGTATGCGTCAAGAAGTTGTGTGCAGTTAAGTAAAATAATCGTCTTTGGTTATCATAATGAAGGCATCCTTGGTTCCATTGGCGTTAATTAAGTGACGACATATTCACACCATTCAAGAAATTTCTGTACACAATATTGAACAGCACTATATGTTGCACAGTATAACAGACAAGATTAAACTATTTTTTCTTCGTAATCCTACCAACGTACAAATCCAGCACAACCAAAAACGACCATTGCTTTCAAGAGAAACACAAAAAATTGTTCATTAACTTTTTAAAACAAATTAGCAAGGGATGAGAAATCACTCCAACATATAATTCCATCTTGTTGAATCCTATACAATATGGATCATCTTGTAAAAGATCAGAATATGATTCCTGTAATCTTCACTTTCTCATGGATAGAAAAAAGAATTTCCGAATAAAGAAAAACTGTATTTACCATAAAAGACTTTGATCACCAATCCACCCCACCGACACCATCCATTTAAAGAACAAGGGATAGAGGCAAAGGTAATTTGTGAATATCCAGTTCTATAAAGAAAAAACGGGTAAGAATAAAAATAAAATAAAATAAAAAGGGCCACCTAAAGCATCAACTTTACCATTTGGGAAAGCTCTTTCTTGTGTGCGCATTAATCTTTGCAGGAATAGCAAGTGTAATTATCCCCTTGATTAAAGCAATAAGAAACATAAAAACACAGAGACGCATGCATCAAGATATATATATATATATATATATATATATTAAAAAAAAAAAACACGATTTTGATTTCATAAACAACAAAAATCAAGAAACAGGAAAATCCAATATTATAAACGAAATGGGGGAAAACAAGAAATCATTGCAGTTGAATCAAGAAAGAGGAGAAGTTTACCGAATTAAAATTGCTGTGGGATTTTCAGGAATGAGTTTTTTGTTCCAAATTTGAGTTCTTAAACAGAAATCTCCTGCAGTCAAAGATATTGAAGCATTAAAGTGTAAGCGCGTTTTTATATAATCTTTTTGTCACGCGGTTGCTTCAATCGTTTTACGCGGATAATGTAGTCTGAATGAAACTTCCTACTAATTCTTTGTTATTTATAAATCTCTATAGCATTAACTAATTAATTCAGATGTATTTAGATTATATCTTATTAGAATATTTGTGGCAGCGTTGGATTATGATTATTAGTTGAAACTTGGCATTAGGATAAGAGTTTTGATAGAGAAGGTTGTTAATTTTCTAGTATTTTAAAGACACCTCATTACGGATAACTTCGAAGCTGAATCTCATTTGCAAAATAATAATAAGAAGGGAAATTTGCAATAGCGGTCCCATACCTTTGAATTTTTTGCAGACTTTACCCTAATTTTCACTTTGTGCCAATCATGGCTCCAAATCTTTCATAAATTCACAGCAGAGGTCCAAATGAATGAAAACCATCCAATTTGACTGTTAATTGACCGATAAAATTGAACTCTGGCCAATTTTGATCAATTTAAAAGGATAAAGGGGGAACTTTCCATCTTATACCTAAAATAAGTTAAAAAATTAAATCAAAAAATGAAGACACATACACTCACCATCTTCCCCACCCCCATCCCCCCTTTCCAATGGAAACCAACAAAACACACTGCCACCACCCACCACCAACCCAAACCACCAAACCAGCAACATCAACCAATTTTTGAAGAGGAGCAAAGATCGAGCTCCAGCACAATTGTGGAGCTAATTTTGGTGGCTCCCTCTACTGATGGCTTGGATGGGACAATTAGGCCACCCATAAAGAGAAACCTGGAGGAAATGGCAAAAAGGCCAAGTTGGTTGTCTAATGGCTGGATGATAGATTTAAGGGTCCGTTCCTCTAGAGCCACCGCTGGAACCATCGATTGGGTATCTCTGGCTCTCTAATTCACACACATATACACCCATACACAGAAATGGTGTAAATTTGCAAGGAATTTGTCTAAATTTTGACCAAATCTAGCCAAAATTATTGTCATTTCACTAAAAATTTCTACTGACATTTTGCTCAAAATTACTATCGTTTTGCTGTGGCTATTCTTCAATAGTGTGGGTCGATGGTGACTGGTGGCTGAAGGTTGATGTTGCCTGGTGGTTGAGGGGCTGGTGGCTCGATGGTGGCTGGTTTTTTCCTTTTCTTTTTATTTTGTTTTAGTAAAAATATTTTAATTGTTTTATATGGTTAAATAACAGATTACCCCTTTACTCTTTTAAATTGATCAAAATTGGTCAAAATTCAATTTTATTTGTCAATCAACAGTCAAATTGGATGGTTTCTGTCCATTTAGAACTTTTTCTGCGAATTTGTGAAAGGTTTGAGACTGTGGGGTAGCACAAAGTAAATGTTAGAGTAAAGTTCGCAAAAAAATTCAAAGGTTTAGAATTGCTACTGCAGTTTTCCCTAATAAGAAAGCTGAAATTAAAAAAATTCCTTTAGTATTAATAAATCGACGTCATTTATTTATTTATTTATATTTTTGGTTTACTTTTTAACATTTATTAAGATTCTAAGAGTCCTACTTTTTACACAGATTGTCAAAGAAGTGGTTGAAGATTGACTATTTTGGAATACTTCGATGTTTGAATTTTCAACTACGGCAACCCCCAAGAAAGGAGTCTACATAGAGATTTCGTGCTGTGTATTAATGATGAAATGTATAATAAACCCATGTTTGAGTCCCTTTTCTAAGAATGTATTTTTTTTTTAATTTTTTTTTTTAATCACACGTTTTTTCATAAAATAATTATACACATAATTTTAAAAAAATTAAAAAAATCTTACTTTTTAATCACACATTTTTCAAAAGTCACTATTCCATAATACATTTTACCCCCAAAACGGGGATCAAATATGTTTTAAATTAGTTGATGTGAAGAGAGGCTATTTGGAGTTTAATTGGAGTTGATTTGAAGTAATCGAAGATTAATCGAATTAAAAGAGATCAATTGAAAGTATTAATGGAGTATTCGATAAAAAATAATAAGTTTTGAGAGTTAAAATTTGACAATTGAAAAGCTTGGCGACTAAATTGCAAATTTTTGGAACTTGCATCGAGTCAAATATAATGATTTTAGAATGAAGGGGACTTAATTGTAAATATTAGAAGATGAATGAATAGAATCACATTAGAAAATGAGTTCAATTGGAAAATGGATTTGTTTCCTTTTTTCTTCTAGAACAATTTGATGTGAATAAATTCAGACAAAAAATTTGCCTAAATCTTGTTTTATAAATACACACCTTAGTCAACAATTAAAGGAAGCTTGTAAAGTTTTACAGGACACATAGATTCAAATCGAGGTTTGGGCGATGCATTGTACAAATATTATTATATGAGTCCGAAAGGAGGAAAAAAATTATGAAATAAAAATCATTATTCAACTCTCTGACAACATGAAAAATTTAAAAGTTCAACCCTCCCTCTCTATCCATCAAGAAGATAAGGTTTCAAGATTTTACAAGAAAAAGACGTAATCTTGGTGCAAGATCTTCATCATTTTTCCTTTAAAAAAAAAAAAAATACACCTTGTTGATATACTTTAATTGCTTCCTACTTTATTCTTCTCCCATAATGTGTAAATAAATATTTAGTTAAGATAAATGATTGTAACCTAGTTTTGAATCTTATTTTTAATTAAAAAATTTTAAATCCATGATTGATTTGTTAAATTATTTTTACTTCTATTCTTACTGCTTGGATTAATTGGCCACTAATTCATTGATTTTGTGATGATAGTTACGTCGAGAGACAAATTAATTGTGTAGATATATATATATATATATATATATATATTAAAAAAAAAAAACACGATTTTGATTTCATAAACAACAAAAATCAAGAAACAGGAAAATCCAATATTATAAACGAAATGGGGGAAAACAAGAAATCATTGCAGTTGAATCAAGAAAGAGGAGAAGTTTACCGAATTAAAATTGCTGTGGGATTTTCAGGAATGAGTTTTTTGTTCCAAATTTGAGTTCTTAAACAGAAATCTCCTGCAGTCAAAGATATTGAAGCATTAAAGTGTAAGCGCGTTTTTATATAATCTTTTTGTCACGCGGTTGCTTCAATCGTTTTACGCGGATAATGTAGTCTGAATGAAACTTCCTACTAATTCTTTGTTATTTATAAATCTCTATAGCATTAACTAATTAATTCAGATGTATTTAGATTATATCTTATTAGAATATTTGTGGCAGCGTTGGATTATGATTATTAGTTGAAACTTGGCATTAGGATAAGAGTTTTGATAGAGAAGGTTGTTAATTTTCTAGTATTTTAAAGACACCTCATTACGGATAACTTCGAAGCTGAATCTCATTTGCAAAATAATAATAAGAAGGGAAATTTGCAATAGCGGTCCCATACCTTTGAATTTTTTGCAGACTTTACCCTAATTTTCACTTTGTGCCAATCATGGCTCCAAATCTTTCATAAATTCACAGCAGAGGTCCAAATGAATGAAAACCATCCAATTTGACTGTTAATTGACCGATAAAATTGAACTCTGGCCAATTTTGATCAATTTAAAAGGATAAAGGGGGAACTTTCCATCTTATACCTAAAATAAGTTAAAAAATTAAATCAAAAAATGAAGACACATACACTCACCATCTTCCCCACCCCCATCCCCCCTTTCCAATGGAAACCAACAAAACACACTGCCACCACCCACCACCAACCCAAACCACCAAACCAGCAACATCAACCAATTTTTGAAGAGGAGCAAAGATCGAGCTCCAGCACAATTGTGGAGCTAATTTTGGTGGCTCCCTCTACTGATGGCTTGGATGGGACAATTAGGCCACCCATAAAGAGAAACCTGGAGGAAATGGCAAAAAGGCCAAGTTGGTTGTCTAATGGCTGGATGATAGATTTAAGGGTCCGTTCCTCTAGAGCCACCGCTGGAACCATCGATTGGGTATCTCTGGCTCTCTAATTCACACACATATACACCCATACACAGAAATGGTGTAAATTTGCAAGGAATTTGTCTAAATTTTGACCAAATCTAGCCAAAATTATTGTCATTTCACTAAAAATTTCTACTGACATTTTGCTCAAAATTACTATCGTTTTGCTGTGGCTATTCTTCAATAGTGTGGGTCGATGGTGACTGGTGGCTGAAGGTTGATGTTGCCTGGTGGTTGAGGGGCTGGTGGCTCGATGGTGGCTGGTTTTTTCCTTTTCTTTTTATTTTGTTTTAGTAAAAATATTTTAATTGTTTTATATGGTTAAATAACAGATTACCCCTTTACTCTTTTAAATTGATCAAAATTGGTCAAAATTCAATTTTATTTGTCAATCAACAGTCAAATTGGATGGTTTCTGTCCATTTAGAACTTTTTCTGCGAATTTGTGAAAGGTTTGAGACTGTGGGGTAGCACAAAGTAAATGTTAGAGTAAAGTTCGCAAAAAAATTCAAAGGTTTAGAATTGCTACTGCAGTTTTCCCTAATAAGAAAGCTGAAATTAAAAAAATTCCTTTAGTATTAATAAATCGACGTCATTTATTTATTTATTTATATTTTTGGTTTACTTTTTAACATTTATTAAGATTCTAAGAGTCCTACTTTTTACACAGATTGTCAAAGAAGTGGTTGAAGATTGACTATTTTGGAATACTTCGATGTTTGAATTTTCAACTACGGCAACCCCCAAGAAAGGAGTCTACATAGAGATTTCGTGCTGTGTATTAATGATGAAATGTATAATAAACCCATGTTTGAGTCCCTTTTCTAAGAATGTATTTTTTTTTTAATTTTTTTTTTTAATCACACGTTTTTTCATAAAATAATTATACACATAATTTTAAAAAAATTAAAAAAATCTTACTTTTTAATCACACATTTTTAAGTTTTAATTTTCAAATTGATTTTGTGAATTATTTTTACTTCCATTCTTAATGTTTGAATAAATTTGCCACTAACTTATTGATTTTATGAGCGATAATTACGTAGAAATATGGATTATTCGTTTAAACTGTGTAGTAAAAATTGAGAACTAGTATAAAAGCGTAGAGATATATTTTCTAGTTAATGTAATTGTTGCATTGATTCTTAGAGAGTTATGCATTTAACTAAAGTGTATCCAGATTCACATAGAGATATAAAATTGATTTAGTTAAATAGAATCAATCAATTTGAACTTAAGAAAGGCAAATTGAATATGTGTTGACTCAGGATTGGAAAGTTTAATAAAAAACAAAAAAACAAATAAAAAAAAACATAACACCCGAACTATTAATTCACACATCAATCTGTTTCTTGTAATTCTGTTTTTAAGCCTTTTCAAGTGGAATTATTCCTTGGTTTTTGAAGTACCAAGAGGGCGACGAAGATATGGTCAGTAGAGATGAGAAGATGTATGTGGTACAGTGATGATTGTTCAGATCTTCTCATTCCATCTCATTTTAGATTTGATGTTCACTTGTGGTTTTTTGTGCTAGCATATGTAACGGTGGCAATAGCGGTTGATTAGGTGTTGACGATGTAACAATAAATATAAAAAGTAATGCTGACTTAGGTAGTGTTGATATAATATTGAATGTTACAAGTGGTGGGGTCAGTGGTAATAGTGATGCAACATTGAATGTCACAAGTGGTGGTGGTCACCGTGATGGGGGAAATAGATGAAAAATGTGGATAGTACACTGTTATACGTGGTTGGGACGGTGGTGGTGGTGAAATGTGTATATGATACAATGTGTCACAAAATATAAATGGTTTTTATCCTTGAAGACCTAAGAACTAATTAATTTTAGCCTAATAAGTCATATAGCACAGCTTCCTTTACTTGTGCAGATGATTATAATTTCACCAAACTTTGACTTCGTTATGCAGTACAACTTTGTAAACTATAAGACAACTTTGTAAATCATAAGTGTACACACAGCATTTTTCTAATTTATATGACACGTTTCTCATTTTTAATCTTATCCAATGGAAATGGAACAAGTGTATTCTATTTCTAGCAACAAAAACAAGATCAAAGGTTAAGGTTAAGGTTTAGGTTTATGTCTAATGCTGCAAGTTATGTAACACAGCTCCCCTATGATTGCACTGAACTTTAACTTTTTCATTATTCAGTTTACTAAGAAATCAAAATTTGAAACACATGACTCTGTTTCTTGCACTCAATCTATAAATTATACATTTTTTAAAATTCCCATAATTTTTCTTGTACCAGTGATCCCTACAAATGAAATTCCCTATAAATTCAGTACTCAATTTTCATTATTGGGCTTGAACCTTGATATTTTTATACTGGGTTGAACCACGTAATTCACATTCTGATCTTTTTCTTTGCAGGATCAATTAAAATGGTGCAGACCGAAGGCTAATCGGTGTGTATGTTCCAATAATATCGTATTTATGCTCGATTTTTCGAGCTGTGCTATTTAGTGTCGAATAAAATGTATTTTCATTCTTGCAATGAAAATACAATGAGATTATATATTAAGGTCTCGTTTGATTCCCATAGATTTAAGAATAAGAACAAAAAATATAGTCGTTACGAGACCACACAAAAGATAGAAAGTCAAATATAGTGGTTTGATATGATTGATAATGGTCATATTTTTCATTTTTGTGACCGAAGAATGAAAATCAAATGGGGCTAAGTTCTTACATAATATTTTGAATAATGCTACTTACGAACTCATTATCGCAATCCCCATACGTGATATATGTGTGGCATTTAGTGATTTGTTATATGAGGCAAGAAAAACTATTACATTAACACTTCAAATCACAAATCGTATTGTAGAAATGTCACATAGAGCGACACCGCAGTGAACGACTATAAATAACATTACTCTATTTTTCTTTGCAGGATCAATTAAAATGGTGCAGACCGAAGGCTAATCGGTGTGTATGTTCCAATAATATCGTATTTATGCTCGAGTTTTTCGAGCTGTGCTATTTAGTGTCGAATAAAATGTATTTTCATTCTTGCAATGAAAATACAGTGAGATTATACATTAAGGTCTCGTTTGATTCCCATAGATTTAAGAATAAGAACAAAAAATATAGTCGTTACGGGACCACACAAAAGATAGAAAGTCAAATATAGTGGTTTGATGTGATGAATAATGGCTATATTTTTCATTTTTGTGGTCAAAGAATGGAAATCAAATGGGGCTAAGTTCTTACATAATATTTTGAATAATGCTGCTTACGAACTCACTATCGCAGTTGCCGTACGTGATATAAGTGTGACATTTAATGATTTATTATATGAGGCAAGAAAAACAATTACATTAATACTTCAAATCACAAATCGTATTGTAGAAATGCCACGCAGAGCAACACCGCAATAAGCGATTATGAACAACATTACTCTAATATTTTGGAATAGATATTTTATTTCATATGTTCTCATTTATGTCCTTTATATATTTCTTGATTGCACGGAAACGGGGGTGCTACCCCCA